CTCAGTAGCTACCATTTCAGACGACTTAATCACACTATCAATACATAAATACTAAGGCAAAAAATCTGAAAATTGTTTGGTGATCGAACATAGAATCTTCTTCATCTAGTGAAAGACAATTTGCCAAATCTATTTCCTACCAAGGTTGATTTTCAGATTTCATGTAAGTCCTAACCTATCATATATCAACTCTAAAGCAATAATTAAGATCTTTTGAAAAACTTTTACTAACAAAGCCGGCACAAACCTATAGAACCACAAAAAAGATTAACTAAAGATAACTTCAAACCCATTGAATCAAATAACCGTAGCGAAGAGCACGATCGAATTGTTTCAGAGATCGATACATGAAAATTCCAAATTCATGATGCTAGATTAATTCGGGGAATAATATCAATTATGTAGTCCATATATTTTCGACTCATAAATCACCAAGATATAGTAGAATAGAAGGAAAACAAACATTGCCCAAATAACTTGCATATTACTCAACAAATTAGCATTTGACTTTAGGAGAAAATTGAGAAAACTAACATGATTCAATACCACTAGAAATTAACCAAACAAGGACAGTTCAGAAGGTTACATGAATAATTAAAAATAAAGCTCGAGACAAACAAAATAAGTAGAAAAGGAAATTGAATACAAAATCCTTCACATGATAACAAGGACCACAATCAGAAACAGTAAATCAGACAAAGTAAGCTATGAACAAGAACCTTTGTTATGTAAATTTTGATATTCAAACATCATCAATTGTCTAAATCCCCAGAGATCTTAAACGGATCCCAATCAGTTTTATATCACGATAGACGAGATTAAACAAGAGAACTAGAATAGAAATGAACCTCAAAGATGTTTTGGATTAATAAGGAGATTCTGGCAATTACACGAACAGAAGACAACTACAGCTTTGATCAGAATTTGAGACAATAATCCACCCGAACGCAACCACAAACTAACTTGGACGGCGACCGGAACTCCGAACCTCCACAGTGTCTTAACCGAAATCCATAGCTTTTAAACAAAAAAAGAATTAAAGATGAAGAAACGGAATACTTTTTGAATTTTTTTTCCTGAAATTTACTCACAAACTAATCCTCGAAAGAACTAAGAAATTTTTGAGTATATGTTATTTGAAATCCAAAAGAAGAAGAGAAATTAGAATAGGACTCTAAAATCTCCTAAGAAACCTAGAACCTTTCTGCCATCTCCTTTTTTCTTTTTCCCAAAGCTTTCTGTCAAATCCCAAAAAATCTAAAAATGGAAGAATATATATGAGCCTCAAACCTTTTATTCTTCCTTCTCAAGAAAATGGATCAAATTCCCTGCCCAAAAATCCGAAAAATATCTCTTTTTTCCCCAATCCGAAAATTCCAGAAGTCTTCTCTTACATAGAATAAATTCGGAACAGATGGAAGGTGTGGATTCAATTTCACGCCAATCCAGCGCTTCCATTTATACAAAATTTATCCCAAAGAAAACAGAAGCGCGTGGGGAAGGGATGGAGTATTTTCTGTTGTCAGAAGTTCGTTATGGCTTTGGTGACGTGGAAGAGGGAGAGAAGAGGGGACCATAGAGAATCGGATGAGTGAATTTTCCGGATTTGGTGAGTTTTCCTGTGAGTTATGAGCATGAGGGTGGCGGTAGCAAAGGAGAGATGCGGCTGGTTAGATGGAATTAGGTTTTGGGTTTAGTTGAAATTTTATGTGGGGCTAAGAGTGAAGGGGTTGTTGGATTAAAAGCAATGGATGGTAGAGATTGTTTAAAAAGGAAAGGGGGCGGGTCGGCACGTATTGAGTCGCGGGTCAGCTGTGGAGATGGCCTGCTAGGTTTAGGGCTCAAGAAAATCCAAATCAGGCCAAATGCCCAAATATCTATTAGCCCCAAAACCAACTCTTCTTTTTTGAGCAAGAATAAAGATAAAGACCCTATAAAAATATTAATTAATCCTTGTTAAGTATAATCAAGTATTAAAATGGAACTAAATATTAAAACAAAACTATTTTTTTGCTATTTTCAAAGATTAAACTAAGAATCGAAGTATAGAAAAATAATATCACTATAAAAATATTAATGATCTTAACTTAAATAGAAATAAGATAAAGCATGAAACTATTTTTGTGTTTTCAAATTTATGTTCTAAATTAAAATTAAAAAAAGTAGACTAAAATCCTATGAAAATAAAATAAGTAAATATTTTAGAAATACTAAATTTAAAAAATAGTGCGAGTCAAAAATTACGTGCTTACAAGCACCGAGCAGCTTCCCTCATTTTTGAAAAAACATATTCTATGTATAGCATGAGGAGAAAAACCTTGGAAAGCTAAAGCAAGCGTCATTGACTTTGATGCCAAAATCGCCAAGGCCCGTGAGTTGGAGTCAACTGCCCGAAGGGGTCTCCCGGTCCAACCTGATGCGACTGACTCTTCTGGTTCCGGCTCCAAGTTCTCGGGAACTGAAGAAGAACCTGAAGGGGATGATAATGAATGCCAAGATCTTGAGCCAGCAGCAGATCCACCTACTTCTCCTGGAGGCGCAGATGCTTCTCTTCCCCCGGATTCCATGGATGCGGTAGTTTAGATGTTCGCTTTCTTTTCACTTTGTTTTTCTTTTTCATATTTTGTACGTGTGCTGTTTGGCACGTTTTTTGTATATAAAAGTGCTTTTTCATTTAAGCATTGCACAAATTTTATGTTTTTACGTCAAGTTATGAAAGGCTTCGGGTGTATTTTTCCCCGATGGCATTTGGATTCCGGGTATAGGTTCTTCTGGAACCAACTCTTTACTGTGAGGGTTTCATAAGAGAGGTCCCTCTCATGTTTGTGGTGCTCTTGAAGAGGACGTCTCCTATTCATTATGGCACTAGCATTTGAAGCACTTGATTAACTTTCAAATGATAAAATTAAGTCATCGTTCAGACAAGAAAAAAGATATAAATGAAAGGACTTTACTTTATTCCTTCCATTTTCTAAAGTACATAAGCATTCGTTGTGCTGAAAAAGAAATTGCCATTACTTGTGGCTCATTTGTACAACTTGTTCTGTGGGGCTAGCCGCACAATCCCCGATCCCGAGGATACATCTTTGTTCCCGGATTTCGTAGCCCAGTGTATGTGGCATTCATATTGTCGTATTCTCATATCATTCCCCCTAGTGTTCAAATACGAAGAATGCGAATTTGAACACTGGAAGTCTTGCTCCTTTGAAGATCCCACTAGTGAATGGTTGGATAATCTTTGATCCGATAGGAAGCTTCATTTCCCATTAGGAACTTTGCTATAATGCCAAAAATTACCTAACCACCCCTTAGTGACTTTCACTCGTGAACGGTCGGGTAACCTTGGGCCCGATAGCAAGCTTTAATTTCTGGTAAGAATTTTACTATCGAGCAAAAGACTATCTAACCGTCACGTGGTGTCTTATTGCTTCCATTCCTTGTCATTTAAAGGTCTTACTTATGCTGACGATGCTTTATTCGTTGTATATTTTGTTTTGCTGCCTCGTTAAAAACCTTGCCAGAAAAACTCAATTGGGACTAAAACTGGACGAAGGGAAAAGGAGTGCAGCACGTACTTTAAGTGTAGGCAGTGCTCATCAGCAATAGTATCTTTAGAGGTGTGCCACGTTCTAGTTTCTCGGCAATTTTACTTCGTCTTGATTTTCCAATTTGTATGATCCTTTTCTGGTGACAGCTGAAACCCGGTAGTGGCCTTCCCACGTTGGACCCAGGTTTCCTGCGTTGATCTCTCGGGTATTTTGGGTCACTTTCCTTAAAACCAAGTCTCCCACTTTGAAAAAATGGAGATTGGCTCTTCGATTGTAATATCTTTCCATTCTTTCTTATTGGGCCGCCATCCTTATATGCGCCAAGTCCCTGCGTTCATCGAGCAGCTCAAATTTGACCATTAATGCTTCATTGTTTGCTTCTTTGTCCACCTGGAAGTATCTCATAGTAGGTTCTCCTACTTCCACGGGGATCAAGGCTTCTGCTCCATATACGAGAGAGAAAGGTGTCTCCCCCGTGCTTGATTTATTTGTTGTACGGTATGCCCACAGCACCCTGGGTAGCTCTTAGGGCCATTTGCCTTTGGCTGCTTCCAATCTCTTTTTGAGATTTTGAATAATTACTTTGTTCGTGGATTCCGCCTGTCCGTTTGCACTCGAAGGTATAGCGATGATGTGATTCTTTTGATTTTTAATTCTTCAAGGAATTTTGTGACCTTTGCGCCTATAAATTGTGGCACGTTATCGCAGGCTATCTCTTTTGGTATCCCAAACCTCCAAATTATGTTCTCCCACAGGAAATTGACTATTTTGCGCTCACTGATTTTCTGGTACGGACCTGCTTCAACTCACTTAGAAAAGTAGTCAGCTAAAATTAAAAGAAGTCTTACCTTACCAAGAGCTGGCGGCAGCAGATCGACTATGTCCATCCCCCATTTCATGAATCGCCAGGGCGACAAAACCTAGTGCAATAGCTCTGCAGGTTGATGCACCAACGGTACGTGGCAGTGACAATTGTCGCATTTCTGAACATAAGCCTTAGCGTCTTGTTCTATCCGGGGCCAATAGTATCCTGCCCTAATTAGCTTTAATACCAAGGAATCTGCGCCTTAGTGATTTTTGCAGATTCCTTCGTGAACTTCTCTCACGACGTAGTTAGCTTTGGAGGCTCCCAAACATTTGTCCAACGGGCCTTAGAAAGATCTTATATACAATTGAACTCACTTGGAGCAGTATCGAGCTGCTTTAGTGCGCAGCGCCCAGGATGCCTTGGGATCATCAGGAGTTTTAATCAATGATCTCATTCCTCCAGTCCAAGACCAAATTAGTCGCGTTTACTTCACAATAGCCTTCCATATCCAATACCGAATGCATAAGTTGTACGACCGTACCGGAGTCTGACCCCTTCATTTTTGTGGGCGAGCCTAGATTGGCTAGCGCGCCTCCTTCCACATTTTCCTCCCTCGGAATATAGGTTATTGACCATTCCTTGAATCATGCAAGTTGATCTTGGACTTTCACTACATATTGTTGCGTGCGCTCTTCTTTAGCGTCGAAGATTCCGTAGACTTGATTTACTACTAGCTGGGAATCACATTTGATTTCTATGACCTCGGATTCCAGTCCCTGGGCTAACTCGAGACCTACAATCAAGGTCTCATACTCTGCTTCATTGTTAGTTAAGGGAACATTCCTTATGGCCTGCCTCAGAGTTTCTCTCAAATGCGTGATTAATACTACACCGAGCCCGGACACTTTTATATTGGAAGCTCCATCCGTGAACAAGATCCAGACTCCCGATGTTGATTCCGTCACCATCAGCGCTTCTTTGGTGGCCAAAGGCAGCAGTCTAGGACTAAAATCAGCCACAACGTCGGCCAAAACTTGTGTGTTTACTGCGAAAATGGTAACGACAATTAAATTTGTAAAATGGGATTATAAAAATACGTGATCTATTCCCGAGCTAGTTGTTAGAGCAGATAATGCTAATAATATGAAATTTAACGATGGAGCGTGAGTCAAAACAAGATAATGATCGAACCGGAGGGCCTGCTACCCGGATGTAGGTTTGGTCGATGGGGGCTTCGGGGTCGACCTCAAGATCGAGCTCGGGCTATCGGGGGCAATCGAGGGTAGTATAACAGTTAGAGATACGATCAAATAAAGCTCTTTATAGCCGAAACTAAATTATACGATGAATAACACATATAAAAAATGGAGAGCACATATAAAGGCGAAGGATATCGAGGTATCCTCGAATCAGTGGTAGCCAATAAGTTTTTAGTAAGAAGAGAAAGAGAGAGAGATATTATTGCACTTGTGAAGAAAAAGGAGTAACATCGGTCCTTTACAAGGTAGGGCGAGTCTCCTTTATATAGGAGAGGAACTCAGTCACGAACACATGTATATTTAATTTACGAAATACGGAGATGTGATGGCTTGACACGACGCCTCAGCATAGGCGATGGATAGGCCGGCCCTGTCAGACTCAACCGCGTGTCTCGAGGGCTTCCCCTCTTTGTCTTTATCTCGGCCTCGAATTGGGCCTTGACAAGCCCCGAAGGAGAATACTAAGTCGTGGGTTCATATCCTCGGGGTCTCGAGGTACCTCCCCGAGATAACCTAATGGTGGGAAATCAGGCCCTCTGATTTCACCGCGTTCAGATAGACTCCGCGTTTCTCAGAACGAAGCGATGGGAAACGATTATGACTATTGACTCCCCGAACTCCTCATGGCGACAATACACTGGCGATTCGTATCGTGGCGCAATCTTTTGCGATAGATGGCATATCTCATAGACTCATGCTCAATACTCTGTCACTTCCGTTTTTCAAGGTGAAAGTATTGTCGTCGATTCGATTTTTCAAGGATGCAATAATTGCATTCGTCGGTCAGTCTTCCAGAGCCTAGACGACCGTGTCATTGCCCCCTATAAATGGGGTGCCTTGGCGTTGTTTTTTTCTATCCCAGTACCTTCATCGGCATGCTTCTCTTTTTGTCATCTTCTTCTACCTTTGAACATCATGCTTGGGGCTTACGGCCTCAAGGCCGTTAGGAGGGGCTCCCTTAAGTGGTGCTATGGCCTTTCGCCGGGACGTCCCTTAATATAGCATAATCGCGTTGTCCCGCTATGGTCGTTGGTATGTTGGTGTTTGCTGCTGCTGTTGGCCCGAGGTGATGATGGATGGGGAGTCGGTCTGCCTCTTATATAGACAGTCGTTCGGATTATATGTTGCTGCTCATTCTCCTACCCGGGCCTGGTACGACACCTCATCCTTAGGGATCTTTCTTTCTCGAGGGATAAGGCGGCCCTACCGGCCGTCGAGGTTGAGGCCCGCCGAATCTTCAACTTTTGGCTTCGACGGGCTATGTCTCTTTTCTCTGCCTCCTCCGCGTCCCCTCCTTTTCTTCTTCTTCATCTCTTCTGGCGGGAATCCCTTGAGGGATTGAGCTGGGAACCTAGATGTGGTGGAGGCCGAAGGGATCACCCTCGAGGGTGCGACGCTCGAGGATGCTAATACCGGAGATGCACCCTCGAGGGCGGACTGGGCTTCCAGGTTTCATCACATGTACATCCTTCCGTTCATTCGCTGTAGGGGTAGGCTCCCATAGGCTTTCGCAATTGTATGTAATGACCCTTCGAGGGCTTTTGTAAACGCATGCCATGACCCCTCGGGGGCTTTTGTACATGAATCTTTATGAACATGAATATATTTCTTTGGTTTTTTGCCTTTGATTTTCGCATGTGTTCATACCCCTCGAGGCCCTCTGACTGCCTCCTTTCACTTCTTGGATGCTGATATTTGACTCGGGTGCGAGCATCTTTTCCGCTTTTCTACTGACCGACATGTCTTTCGAGGCCATTATCGTACCTTGGGGCAATCCTGGATCGATCGAATAGTACTGGGCTGCCTGGGCCTTTTGAATTGCACGTAGATAATGTGTCGAATTTCGAGGCCTTTGAGGATGCTATCCTGGATGAAAGCCAGCTTCGGGTACCGAGCGGTCCCATTTGATTTTTGATGCGGACAACTTCCTTTAGTTACGTACGAGATAGATTTTTTACTGAGGGGTTGCTCACACTCAGGCACCGCTTCGAACCTTTGTGGTGCTTCCGCAATTGGAGCTTCTTGCGTTTATTCTTTCTTTTTTAGAAATGTAATCACAAAATCTGAAACCACCTCACGTTGAAGGACGGCATGGAAAGCCTCGCAAACTACGATTTCTCTTCGGTGGGGATCCTCGAGGCGGGATGCTATCTCGAGCTTGGAGATAATGCAGACGGTTCCTCGAGTCTTGGATTCTTGTCAAAGGATACTTTCGGGGTTAGGTATCGCCCCATTGGATTATACCGATGTCGTAGGTTCCCCGGGGCTCACCCCGAGTAGGCGAAACGTTGCCGCTTCTTAGCATATAAGTGAGGCGGCCTCGGCTTCTTCGCAGGGCTTCACTATTTTTAGGTAGCTGCACTCCCGCTTTGGCATAGGGTTCCTTATTTCCCTAGGTGCAAAAAGTGTTGGTGCGTGCCCTTGCTTTGCTCTGTTTAGTTTTACCATAGTCATGGCAACCACTTTGGGGGCGGCATGGCAGAGAGCGGAGAGTGCTGTTCCCGGTGCTCGGGAGCTGAGGGATTTCGTCCTGAAGACTGTTTCTTTGATAAAGGGGGAGCATTTGGAGATGGTGAGAAAATACTGCGGATGGAGTGAGGGGGTAGCGCTGCAGGTGCTTCCTTCGGGAGAGAACGTTACGGATTCCGCTGATGGATTTTTGAGTGTATACCTGTATCCTTTCGCGTTTGGCCCCCTCGACAGGGTCATGCTTGATTTTTGCTTGAAGTATCGGGTTACTTTGGCGCAGATACACCTGTCGTTTTGGCGGGTGGTGCTGATGATAAGGTTCTTTGCGGAGAAAGTCGATCTTGACTTTACGCTCGATCACCTCATCCGGTTGTATCGGCCCTTTCATCACCAGGGCCTGCTACTGAAGTGTCGTTCGTCCACGCCCTTTGTTGTCGACGACGAAGAGGAGGGGGTTTGAGAGTGGGCCGGTTGGTTCGTCCGGGTACGGACGGTTGACATTATCCTCGTGGAGCTTTTGCCGTTCTCCGAAGGGTGGAATTACGCACTTGAGTGGAGCATTTGGTGCTTTTTCAAGTTGTACCTATAGCAGAAGTTAGTTAAATAATCGTGTTTTTACCCTGTTGTAGCAACTTCTTGAACGCCGGGCGAAGTCTCCAATCTGGCTGGCTGGGTCCGGAGGCTGGTAATCCACTCGTCCTGCGACGAGCGTAGGTGGCGAGTTGTGCTTCGTGTTAGGTGGGGAGCGAAATATCAAGGTATGTGTGCATGTTGCTTTTGCCTTGGCCTTCACATACTTGAGGTAATATTTTCCCCCTCTTTACTTGCATTGGATTTGCTGTTTGCAGGCATTGGGCAGTTCCTCGAGATGAGACAGTGCTCTTCCGAAGAGGGGAAGGAGTCGTTGATCTCCCCTCTCGCCCCTCGAGGCGATGGAGCTCCAAGTGGTGCTGACCAGGCCAATGTCTCCAAGGAGAAGGCATTGTCTGAGTCCGCTGCCCCCCGAGTACCTGATTCTGGGTCGTCGATGCCTTCGAGCGGATATGCTTTGCCCGAGGCCGGTTCTCCCCGGGGCAAAGGGACAGGATCAACAGGAGTATGCTCCGACTTTGAAGAAGTCCGCCGGCTTCACTTCGTGGTGAGTTTAGGCGCAGTTTCCCTGTATTGCGCATCCTTCATTCGTCATTGAGTTTTCCTTGTGCAGGCCTGTGACAGGCTGATGTCTGAGCTGGTCCGTCAAGGGGCCAAGTTTTAGAAAGTTCAGGGTGAGGGAGAATCTCTTAGGCTACTTAGCGAGGTGAAGGAGGGCGAGTTGCTGCATTGGCGATGCAAAGCGTACCGGTGCTCGAATTATGAGAGTTATTTGATGGAGCATGTAACTTTATGCAGCTCAAGCTTCGCTTTCTTCGGCCCTTTTAGGTTAACGCCCTTCTTCGTTATATCAGCTGCAGAAAAAGGCGGAGGCCATGGAGTACCTTAAGGGCAATATTGATCGCACCAGAAATGCTTGTGGCGATCTAAGGGCTCAGGTGCAAGTTCATGTTTTGGAGGAGGCAAGTGCCTTGGCCAAGGTTCCTGCCTTAGAAGTCCAACTTTGCTTGGCTCGAGATAATGCCAAAATCCAAGCAGATGTGATCGAGAAATTAGAATCCGAACTTTCGAAGATTAGGGCCGAGATAATTGACGCCCGGGCTAAGGCGATGCTAAGTCGAACCAACGCTGATTAGGAGATGGCGATCCATATGAAGGATGTCGCTGATGCTCAGGTCGAGCTGAAGCGAGCCCTTGACCGGGAGAAAAGGATCGAGGAATATATCCGTTGCAGATCCCGAAGAGAAGCACTCGAGGAGATTGGCGCGAGGGGCTTTATTCTTTCTGATGAATTGGATCGAGCAAAGGCAAATGAGCGTGACGCGTGGTCATTTCTTGCTGACGAGACGGGAATAGCCCTTCGGATTGGATCGCAGATTGTGCCGTTTTGTTTCCCCGTTTCTGATATATGTAGAAGATGTCTGTTTATGGAGGGTGTGTCCCCTCCCCTTTTTCCCTCTGTGTGCGTGAAATAAGAAGAGACTTTGAAGCCTTACTTCTTCCGCATCTCTTTCTGTTATTGCCTTCGACCAGGTCGGCTTCGATGTTTGGCGGGATCCTCGTAGGTTCGGGACCAACCGGGCTAGGCCAGGGCTCCTAGGTGTGGTTCTTGACGTGAGCAAGCATTGTGGTCCCTGCGCTTTGTCCGGCATTTAGGTCCAGTCTCCGAGTCGTTTTGTGATTCGAGCCGTAATTGACCTTTAAGCTCTTCCCTGTCCGCAAGGGCGAGTGATGGTGGCCTTCTTTGCCTCGGGTCGAAGTGACCTTATAAGCAGGCGACCTGGAGGCTCTCTCGGCTGGCGATCGTGGCGTTTGTGCCGTGCCCTTACGCATGCTGTAGTTTTGTGCTTATTGCGGGTCTAGTCTCCGAGCCGCTTTGCGGTTAGGGCTGTAATTGACCTTTAAGCGCCTTCGATTTCCCGAATGGGGGTAGTGCTTTGCACGCTGTTTTGGTCGTTGAGACCTTTCCGTATGTGCCCCGTAGGCTTGTTTAGTTAACTATTTTGGATCCGGTCTCCAAATCGTTTTACGATTCGAGCTCACTTTAATCCTCAAGTTGTCAATTGGGCTGGCGACAATGGCTCTTAAACTTTTTGGTCGTAGAGACCTTCTGATATGTGGCCAGTAGGCTTGTTTAGCTGGCGACAATGGCTCTCACGCTGTTTTTGCCCGTGGGCTTTTTGTAGGCTTGTTTTCCGCTCGTTAAGGTCGTTTGAAAGATGTTTGCCTGAACCGTCATCGGTTCTGGAAGAACCTCGATTTCAAGTCATTATCGGCGATATTTTGAGCACCTCGGAAGGTTCATAGCCCGTTGTTTGCCTGTTTGAGGGAAGCCTGTTTTAACTGGTTCTTTCCAAAGTATATTCGAAGTAGTGGCCTGCGATTTTTTTTTAGCGATGGTCGGGCGTCCCTGAGTCGCGTTATTTTGGCTGTATCGGCCGTTTTGACCGTAGTCATGTGCGTTTGGCTGTAGCCATTTTTGATCCCGAGTGACAGTTTAGGTGTCTAGATCGAGGGTATGCCCTTTTGGGATTTTTACAAATGCGATGTATAGCCTAAACTTCGGGATATTCATGCCTGTTGAGGTCTTACAGTTTGTCATGCCTATTGAGGTCTTACAGTGTGTCATGCCTAGTGAGGTCTTACAGTTTTTCATGCCTATTGAGGTCTTACAGTTTGTCATGCCTATTGAGGTCTTACAGTTTGTCATCTTGGGTAATGTAGAATGGACCTGGTTATGCTGAGTCTGCCCGCTAAGGGTCTTACAGTTTTGGATTTTCCAGCGTATGGTGACTGACAATAGCCTCCGAGTCATCAAGTTGTTTAAGCATGAAAACCGCTTCTTGTGAGCTCGAAGTTGCCTTGTAGGGGCTTTATGAGCCTGGAGTTTCGATCCTGAGATGCACGAATGCCTAGTTGCAGGCATTAAGTCTCCGAGTATTTCGGAATGCTTCAGTGGAGGGGGCCCCTGCCGGGGATACATTTGAGATTTCTTTGTTCGGAGAATAAAATGCCGAGAAAATATCCTTTTATTGCTTGGTATAGATGTACATTGTTTTGTCATTGTGAATTCGACCCGTGCGTGCACGGCTTCTCGGACCGTTTTGGCCCAGCATGAATTCCCGATAGGGGTTTAGTCCGACGTATATGGGTCCTCCCGAGGGGGTATGCTCTTAGAGGCAAACCATCGTTCGTTGTTGGGATGTCAGAATAAAGCCCGTGACGTCATCGAACTCTCTGTCGGTACGTTGTTCTGCCAATAATCTTGCTGACAAGGTTTCTTTCGGGGCGGAAGCCCGGCTGAAAGGAGAAAACACGGCGGTCGCCTATATGAGGCCTAGGAATCTCCGGGTAAAGTCTTGGGAACCTCCGAATATCCTTGCCAGCAGTCCGCGTTCAGGTTAGTATTAAGAAAACGAAGGAGCAAAGCAGTTCTTTCTTACCGCGGGGTGTGTTAGGCGATGTTTCGGGACTCGGTGTGTCCCTATCGGCTTATTCCAATTCTGCTCTTTGCGAGGAATCTCATTCTTTTGTCGAGATAGGATCGTCGGCGCCTTCGGGTAGTGCGTCGGTGGTCGTCTGAACAAGACGTCTATACTTTGCGCTTCCTTTGAATGCGTAAAGCCCCGAGGTCCCGGCTCGGACTCATGTGGGCTATATTGAGAGAACGGTCTTTTCGGTAATTTGTCATTTGTA